TCCCTGGACTATGGTTGATCTGCTGAAGCCTTATTGATCTTAATACTGATGTTTGACCTCAACTTATTTTTGTTACAGGGGTGCCAGAGCTTGGGAGGCCCCGCACCATCAAAATGTATGGGGGGGGGAGGGGGGGAATTAGCCATGTCATTCCAATTGTTTCAAGTATTTTATTTTTGCCATTCATAACATCAAAATTATTATTATTATTGTGCATTTATACAAGAATAAGGCCGCTTTCAGAATCCCTCACCCCTAGATAATTTATAACCATTTTATATCGACGCCCCTGAATTGTTTAAATGTGTTTATTGTTACCACTGACTGCGTCTCTGTAAACATAAGTTACACACTGTTACACCGTACAACGATTGTCTATATAGCACAGAAACATGGACAACAAACGAGCAATTACAAAGTAAAATTACCGTCCTGCACATGTGGATATAAGCAAGAATAGGTTGTAATTCATGGTAACAAAACACTCAAATATAGAGGTTCTAAAAAGACAAGGACTGAACAGAGTTGTTTGAAAACAAATAAAAACTGACATTTTTCAGTGACATTAGAATACATAAAATCCTTTTTAAAAAACTACAGTCAATTGAAAATCTTATGCAAGCGATAACACTAGGTAAGTTATATCACGAGACGGAGGTGACGAACAGTAGTTGGCAGAGGCGTGCGGTGGAGAAGAAAGGGGTTAACCAAGGCAAGAGACAGTACTATCAGAGATGACAATTGCTTGAATGAATGAGCAATCAGTGTTGCAGTAAATAAGCCAGATTACTTGGCAGATTATTACAATTAGTTTAACACTTTTTCTGCGAAATTGAATGGCATACTTGTATACTGACAGACACCCAAGTTAAATCGATATCATTATAAATTCTCTTCATGACTAGTGGCACATGAGGTTTCAGAGAGGTCTTTCCATGCTTGCCTGTCTTGCGCAATCTTCAGTGCAGTTTTCCATGTCAGAGATGCCGCACTCAGGACACTCTCTATCGTTCATCTCCATGTTTTTTTTTTTTATGTGTGACACTTTTTCACCTTTCCCTCTAGTATCCATGTGAGAGCTGTTTTGGCAGGTATCAGGATTTATTCTCATAACGTCGCCAAGCCATTTCCATCTTCTCTTGGTTATCATACCGTCTAGAGTTTCTTGGTTTGTGAATTGAAGTAGTTTACTGTTTGAGATTGTATCTGGCCAGACAATTTTAAATCATGCATGTCATAACAGTGCAGGAAATTGGACAGGTGGTTGCTGGATGCTGATTTTTGAGTGCATGGTGACATCTAAAAGAATAGTTTGTAGACAACATTTCAACTACAAAATTGACCAACATATCACATAAAAAGGTTCTGCGCACGCGCGAGTTAATGAATGAATTTGTGTTTTATTAGTAATTGTGAATCTATTGTTTAGTTAGTTCAGGGTATTTACCACACAAAAAAATTATGTTTAGAGTCTTGGTGACATTTCTTCCCACTATCATCACCACCATCAATAAACATTATTAAGGGGGAAAAGTAGTCGTGTGATTTCTGAAGCTATGTTTGTATAATGTTAATAATGATCGTATTTCTGTGCTGTCTATTTTAATTAGAATGCAACAATTTCTATTGAAACATTAATATCAACAAATTACTTCAATATTCCTAATGTGGCTTTTATTATTTACCTATTGGTATACAGCAACAACACATCAATAATTGACCAACTCTCGAGAAAAATCAGCTCATTAACTAATCAACCATCGAAACAATCAACCGCAACCAATCAGCCATCAAAGGATCAGCTGCAACCAATCAGCCATCAAACAATCAACCAACTCACCAATAAAATAACCAACAAATTCAAACACCGGCCTCGTTGGCTATGGTACCGCCACTGCGCAAAACAAAAAAACAACGAACTCGTAAAACACCGGCCAATAAATCAGTCAGCTAACGGATCAGTCAGCCAATTCACAGCCAACCAACCAGCCGGTACGCTATAAAAAAATGGTGCGCTGTCTCCAGGGTGAAAGTTGGCTGTAATGTCCGACTCTGTCTTCGAGCACAATACACGGTGAGGCCCCAGTCTCATCTATGGCGTCACTCCAGTACCTATAAATAAAAGCCATAAACCCCGTGTGGGTTCTGGTGTCACATTTTCGGAGAAAGAAAAGAAACGACCCACTAACCAGAACTGTAATATGACTGTGCATGCAAAACGCAAGTTCTGGAACAAGACCAAACTTCAGAAGTGGACGAACAACTAGAATTCCCTGTAGAGCGTACAGACGGTTAACACGAAGAATAAGCAAGCGACAAGAGCCCCCCCCCCCCCCCCCGCTCTCTTTTTTTAAATCGCCTCCCGCAGGATTCGAACACTGGTACTTAGACATTAGCTAGCTAGTTAGTTAGTTAGTTAGTTAGTTAGTTAGTTAGTCAGTCAGTCGGTCAGTTAGTTAGTCAGTCAGTTAGTTAATTAGTCAGTCAGCTAGTTAGTTAGTTAGTTAGTTAGTTAGTTAGTTAGTTAATCAGTAAGTTAGTTAGTTAGTTAGTTAGTCAGGCGGTCAGTTAGTTAGTCAGTTAGTTAGTCAGCCAGTTAGTTAGTTAGTTAGTTAGTTAGTTAGTTAGTTAGTTAGTTAGTTAGTTAGTTAGTTAGTTAGTTAGTTAGTTATTTAGTTAGTTAATTAGTTAGTCAGTTAGTTAGTTAGTTAGTTAGTTAGTTAGTCAGTCAGTCAGTTAGTTAGTTAGTCAGTCAGTTAGTTAGTTAGTCAGTCAGTTAGTTAGTTAGTTAGTTAGTTAGTTAGTTAGTTAGTTAGTTAGTTAGTTAGTTAGTTAGTCAGGCGGTCAGCTAGTTAGTCAGTTAGTTAGTCAGTTAGTTAGTTAGTTAGTTAGTTAATTAGTTAGTCAGTTAGTTAGTTAGTTAGTTAGTTAGTTAGTTAATTAGTCAGTCAGTTAGTTAGTTAGTTAGTTAGTTAGTTAGTTAGTTAGTTAGTTAGTTAGTTAGTTAGTTAGTTAGTCAGTCAGTCGGTCAGTTAGTTAGTTAGTTAGTTTAGTTAGTTAGTTAGCTAGTTAGTTGTTAGTTAGTTAGCTAGTTAGTTAGTTAGTTAGTTAGTTAGTTAGTTAGTTAGTTAGTTGGTTGGTTGGTTGGTTAGTCAGTCAGTCAGTCAGTCAGTCAGTCAGATAGTTAGTTAGTTAGTTAGTTAGTTAGTTAGTTAGTTAGTTAGTTAGCTAGCTAACTAACTAACTAACTAACTAACTAACTAGCTAGTTAGTTAGTCAGTCAGTCAGTCAGTCAGTCAGCCAGCCAGCTAGTTAGTTAGTTAGTTAGTTAGTTAGTTAGTTAGTTGAAAGATTATCCTCACTGCATATAGGACAAGTCCATAAGCACTAGGATCCCATCTTCAGCATGCTTCTCTGCTGGCAGTGACTGATAACACCAGTTCTCTGTTGGTTTACTTTTATTCTTTGCCTACCTGCATAGTGTTCATGTCTGACAGTACGTTTTTTTTAACCTGAATTTCCTGCAGTCTTTCCAATGTTGGCAATTCACATTCGTCTGGTGAACCACTCACCACTCGTCTGGTGAACCACTCACCACTCGTCGGGTGAACCACTCACCACTCGTCGGGTGAACCACTCACCACTCGTCGGGTGAACCACTCACCACTTGTCTGGTGAACCACTCACCACTCGTCGGGTGAACCACTCACCACTCGTCTGGTGAACCACTCACCACTCGTCGGGTGAACCACTCACCACTCGTCGGGTGAACCACTCACCACTTGTCTGGTGAACCACTCACCACTCGTCGGGTGAACCACTCACCACTCGTCGGGTGAACCACTCACCACTCGTCGGGTGAACCACTCGCCACTCGTCGGGTGAACCACTCACCACTCGTCGGGTGAACCACTCACCACTTGTCTGGTGAACCACTCACCACTCGTCGGGTGAACCACTCACCACTCGTCTGCCTCACTGAGAGCAATAATCACATCGTCATGTAGCATAACCTTTGCAGAATGTCCCTCCCATCACGCCAGTTCTCCCGCCTCTCGTACTTTCATATTCAAGGAGTCACTTATTCCATGTGCCCACCTTTGTGTTGGTCGGCCCCTGCACTTCATTCTTGGTACCATACCTTCTGCTATTATTATTTTCCTTTCCCCGTGTGAGTTTCGGGGCCCTTTTATATGGAAAACAAGAATAGACCCACTGCCTACCTAAAAGCATGTCGTAAGAATCGACTTATTGAAAGCGTCCTTTGAAGTCGATGTGCGTCTGCCTGAGAGGCAAGGAACCAGCAGTCTGCACACAAATGAGTCAGATCTGTCAAATGGAAGCACACGCCACACTCAGGTTCTGGAACAGGACTGCAGTCCATAGGTGGATGAACAACCAGAACTTTCCGCCGGAGTTTACAGTCAGCGAACAAGAAGAAGAAGATTATTTTTTAACCCCCCATGGCGCTTGATTTGACCAAAATATTTCAGCTTCCAAGACTAGATGCTGTTGATTAGCCAATCTTCCTTTATGTTCAGATCTGTCAAAATTTAAGTATTTCATCTCTTGGTATTCTGAAAATCTCTCTATAGTATTTCAGATCAAAATCCCATATTTTTTTGTTTCTTAAGGACTGGGAGATAGCCCATGACTCACATCCGTATGTTGCTACAGGGAAGATGCATGCTCTCAAAATTGTAATTTTGATTTCCTTTGCTCGTCCTAAACCAGTTACTTTTAATGTTGTTTAACCTTTGCATTAATCACATTAGCCCCGCCAATTGCTTGTTCTGTACCTACCGTGACTGTCAGCAAGCCAATCCGTTCGTTTCTTTGAATTGATAGTGATTAGTCAAATAATTTCACTAACCTATAAAAGCCACATTACGTTTTGTTTGCCCACTAACAAAATCCCACAGGATCCTCTCGTGATACAACGTTTATCAACAATTATCACACAACCTACCCACAATGGACTACAGCAGTGATTCCCAAAC